TCGGGTTTTATCCCATGTGGCTCGGTCTCTCTGCAAAACGGCTAGTCGCCTGCCAAGAGTGCCGCACAAAGCACGAACTCCGTAGATGGGGAAAAAGAGGAAGTAAATCATATACAAAAACATGCCTAAGTGGGCCACTCTGACCTCAGCGTTTAGATTCAAAATTAAGGGCAAACCACTCTTCCCGAAAAAGACAGAAGTGGGATAATGAAACAAACAAAACTAACAAAATTGCTGATATTATTTCAATGTTAATTTGTATCCAGTTTCTAGTTTTCTTTGTTCGGTGCTCACTCCAGAAAGATTATGCTATGGGAGACGGGGGAGAAATAAATTAACAGAGGCATATAAGGAACTATTTAGACATTTTTGGTAATTCTAACAACAAAGATTAAATTCATTACGGAAAGAAAATCTTGAAATTTATAGTTAAAAACTTATGTTTTGTTTCCGCTATCGATATATACTGAATTATATGTTTGTTGAGAAGCAATGGGTCATTATTTTTCCGAAAAAAGGGGAGATATCCGGAAGGAATATGGTTAATGGTTAAAGTTAAAGGTTAAAGTCGAGAGGATTGACTTAATTGCACCGTGTTTTATCCCATATGGCTCGGTCTCTCCGCAGAACGGTTAGCCACCTGCCAAGTGCCGCACAGAGTACAAATTCCTTAGCTCTCCGAGGACGTTCCCCGTGAATCTTAGTAAAAACTGCACTCGTGAAGGAAATTGGGACGCCATTAAACGAAGCCACGACCTTCAGAGCTTGAGGAAAACGGCTTGACCCATTCGCCACAGAGATAGTAAAAAAGGAAGTAAATCAAAATACAAAAACATGCCTAAGTGGGCCACTCTGACCTCTGCTTTTAGATTCAAAACTAGAGGAAACGCACTCTTCCCGAAAAAGAAAGAGAACTGCACAAACAGCACCGAGATCTGCTTGAAAGAGATGTAGCATTGTGCGAAAAACTTAGGCCAGATGGACAAGCAAGCCAGAGAAGGCAAATGTAGTCCTAAAGGTACCAGGGATCACTTTAAAAGATGCCCAGACGGAGACACAACAGAGAACCCTGGCTCTTGCTATGCTTGATGAGAAGTATCCAAACACCACTTGGACTCAGGTTTTCACCGACGGCTCTGCTATAGATGCAGTCAGAAAGGGGGGTTGTGGAATATACATTAAACCCCCTAGCAGTAGAGCAGAAACTCTCTCTCTACCAGCAGGTGACATCTGCACTAACTTCAGAGCTGAGGCAACTGCCCTCCTTTCTGCAGTCCAACATCTCATCACTCAAGGGCACACAATTGTTATACTTAGTGACTCATTGACTGTTCTCCAAGCACTATCAAGCAAAAAACAAGACAAACTAATTGCAGATCTAAGGATCAACATTGGCTTACTCTCCAAGGAAGCAGAACTGGTCTTGCAGTGGATAGCAGTCCACTGTGGTATTCAGGGAAATGAGAGAGCAGATGAGTTGGCAAAAGCTGGGAGTAATCTTTCACAACCTCATCCACCTCACAGCTACAAGGAAACCAAAACTGCGCTAAAGCAGTCTTTCAAACGGGAGTGGAGAAGGCAGAATAGAGATTACAGACCAGAGAGTGGCAGCATAAACAAACTCAACAGGAAAGAACAAACAGCACACTACAGGACGTAAATTTGCCTAGAAAACCACAACAACCAGAAATTGCTGGGGTGGGTTCTGCAACGTCCTGTAAAGGATACTCAACTAATAACAAAAAATATTATGAACTCATACACACATTCACTTTATTTGAGTATGTGTGTTTGTTTATGATTGGTGTTGTGCGCATGTACAGGCATACAACATTTCAGACTTTTTGAAAGAAAAAGTATATCCTACATACACATAACCTTGTGTATTAAATAAATATTTATTGAAGTGTAATATTACTACTTGCTATTAGTTATTACTAGGCTCTTAAGATGAAACATGTTATGTCCTGATTGAAGATAACACTTCTTCACCTAAAATATTGTATGTTAGTTAATTTGAACAAATCACTTTATCGGTAAAATGCATTTATCACTTCTTCTGCCAAAACCGTGTATGCATTTTTGTATTTAGCATTTAACGTCTTCTGCCCTGTAACCAGTAGCGGGTCACCCCACTCAACCATCTCACACAAACTCGTCCCATCTATTGCATTCGCAATGAAGGTTATGCACATTTTACATTTCATTAACGCAGTTGGGTGTGCGATTTGTAGTTATTAATAAATGTTGGCTCCAAGGCTTTACAGTTATAGGTTATTAAATACTCCTGATTGTGTAGATCCTAGACGTGAATAGTGCAAATGAATTTTATGATTTTGTAAACTTCGGATAAACAGCTGGTTACGTAAATTTAAATGTTTTTTTAAAACTTCGGACTCTGTTTCAACGTTAGAGAAGTCGGCTAGCTGGAATTATTATTAGAATAAACCTATCAGAGTAATATAGAATGGTCGACAAGACCTTGAAGCTAAATAAATTATTCATCATTATGGCTCAATTAAAGAAGCAACAAAACACTGCCAAAAAAAAAAAATGTTAACTTGGAGATTTACACCTTTCTAGGACATCCGCCCAATGTCTATTTATTCAGAACATTAAGGGGTTGTGGCAGCTTGCTGGCTGGCCACATCCTCCCCTCGAAAAACTCTTACGTACAAAAAAATGCGGCAATTATCACGTTCGTTGAATTTGATGAAATATTTTTGTTTCTGATTCAAATGATGGTGAAATGTTTCTACAAAAAACTTGAAAATTTAAGGCTGCCTCCTATTTTGATTTGTATTTCAGTAAATCCGTACCTATGTTCAAAAGTTCAAGTTCGGCAGATTTAAATTAAAGTTTCGATTACGTAACTTAATATGGAAGAGCAAGTTGCCAGCTCTATAGAAAAATGTATTGATACAAAAGCAGGTTATCTCCCTTAGTCTTCTGTTTCTGCTTCTTTAATTCCTAACTTTATTGAAGTGCTAGGAGGGGCAGGGGTGAGGATTGCGGGTTAGGTGCTATTTCTGCATACAAATGAGTCAGATCTGTAAAACGGATGCACACGCAACACTCAGGTTCTGGAACAGGACTGCAGTCCAGAAGTGGAGGAACAACCAAAACTTTCCGCCAGAGTATAAAGCTGGTGAAGAAGAAGAAGAAGAAGAAGAAGAAGAAGAAGAAGAAGAAGAAGAAGAAGAAGAAGAAGAAGAAGAAGAAGAAGAAGAAGAAGAAGAAGAAGAAGAAGAAGAAGAAGAAGAAGAAGAAGAGGAAGAAGAAGAAGAAGAAGAAGAAGAAGAAGAAGAAGAAGAAGAAGAAGAAGAAGAAGAAGAAGAAGAAGAAGAAGAAGAAGAAGAAGAAGAAGAAGAAGAAGAAGAAGAAGAAGAAGAAGAAGAAGAAGAAGAAGAAGAAGAAGAAGAAGAAGAAGAAGAAGAAGAAGAAGAAGAAGAAGAAGAAGAAGAAAAAGTTACCATAGCTCTTCAGTACAAACTATTCGTGCGCCGTCCTTTGATACAGCAGCAGCCTTAGATCTCCATGAACATCGTGCCCAGAAGGAGTTGGCTGACAATTTCTATGCTTTCCTTGTTGCGCAACAGCTTTTGCATGCTTGTCCTCATTTGAATGTTCAATGTCGAAAAAAGAGTCGACATCATAGCACTGGGGACACTCCCTTAAGCGCTCCGTCCCCATCTTCATCAGCAAACGAAGAGTTCCAATTCCAATGGCACCAGTAACTGTCTGATTGTTTATCCATCTCGTCTTTACCTTGAGTGTTGAGCGTCGGCTAGATCCTCTGACAACTCCTCGCAGCGCCATTCTCCTCAGACCGCAATGATCTATTTGCGCTTCCGCACTGTTCACTCGCCCCCAGAGGGCTCTCATAACTTCTAGCTTGTCACATATCAGTTCACCACCAAGTGGTGCAGAACCGGCCAGACTATATGCCTGCTCATTTCCCAACACACCGGCATCACCGGGAGAAAATATGCAAAGGATGCTAACTACCCAGGACCTCTTAAGTGATGCTTGCCACTCTGCACGGAGCATACCTGTCTCCAATTTTCTCAACATGCTCTGTGAGTCAGTTACAACCACGGCATGTGTGTACAACTGATTCTGAAACCAGCTGAATGCAACAGTGACTGCCTCCACCTCCATTATCAAACTAGACGTTGTGATATTATATGCCAGGCTTTGTTGCTGTCTTCATTTAATACCTACTTCCAACAGGGGGGTTAATTGTCTCTGACTCCTTTGTCTCAGCGTCTCTGGAACGCAGCGCATTCAGTATCTCTGCCCTGTCCATAATTCTTCCACTACTGACTACTGCAGACACGGTCGGTCATTCGGATCTTTCATGTCATTTCCTCTCACTCCACGTGTGGGTTCCGCGGCTCATGGGGGGGGGGGGGGGGAGAAGAATAGACCCACCTCTTCCCAACAAACATATTGTAAGAGTCGACTAAGTGGGGCCTAATTTTAGGGTGGGGGAATTTGGGGGAATTAGAGTTCGTTGGTCGGAGAGACATTGAGCCAACAGTGTGCATACAAAAATGGTCAGATTTATAAAATGGATGTGCAAGCAACAGTCAAGTTCTGGAACAAGACTAAAGTCCAGATGTGGATGATCAGAAATAACTTTCTGCCAGAGTTTATAGCCGGTGAACGCAAACAAGAGGAAGAAGACCACAAACTCTCACCACGGCGTTCTAGTGGGTACAGCTAAGACAGTTTTGTGAGGCCTCCTATCTACCACTCATATCCACCATATCAGATGTTTGAAATAAGAAGAGGTCTATAAAAAAAACTATTGTGATCGGTTGAATTTGACAGTACATATGCAACAGTGAAATTTATCATTTCTAAAAGACAATCTTTAGTTTTTTTGTGTCATGAAACTTCTGTAATGTTTTGTTCCCATTACCACAGCAAATCTACCATATCAGAAATTGTCAGTTGCGTTTGCAGGGGAATGTTTTAAATCTTCGGATATCTCCGCTCTTGACCTACATAGCGAATAATGTTGCGGCCTACTTGTTAGTGAAAATTGTAAGTGCTGCTTATTAATATAATAATTCCCAGTGTGGGTTTCGGTACAACCTGGGCCTTACAAACTCGAGTGGATCAGTCACAGTTACGATGGTTTAGACATGAATGCAGAATGGGAGAAAATCGGCCACCGTGGCAGGCATTGGTGGAGGGGGAGGGGGAGGCGCTAGGAACCAGACCAGGGCGGCCCAGGGTCCGCTGGGAAGACAGCATCTGAAGTCCATGACTGACAGAGAACTTGAACAAAACCAGCCAAAAAAGTCTGACGATCTCTTTGGCAAACCTCTACAGCCCAAGGTAGAAAAATAGCGACTAAATAAGCAAGTAAGTTAGTAAGTAAGTGGATTTTGGTGCACCATTTTGGGGTGGTGAATGAGAGAACTCATTGTGACACCATACCATACAAAGCATACACGGAAAGAGAAGAAGGACGTAGAGCACGGGGTAGACCAAGAACAAGATGGAAGGATAACATCAGAGAAACTCTACAACAGCACGATGTGCCTATGGTCGAGGCAGCCAGAAGAGCTAGAAACAGAACCTTATATCTCCCTCGACACCCACAGCGGTAAAAGAGGAAGTGAAGAAGAAGAAGAAGAAGAATGAAAGAACTGACCCCTAACAAGTATATATTAAAATTAGATTTTGCTAGTTAGAGTTTTGTTAAAATTGGATGCGTTCGTCCCAAAGGCGTATGCACCGCAGTCTAGCGGTAAACCCCCACACAATGTGCTTACTATAATTTTAAGGGGCGATCGCAGAAGAATATGCATATGATAGTACCTCGCCTTTTGGGATCATCATTGCGAATGACTGCGAAGTGGATGATTTAATAAAACCAGACCTAGATCTAATTAGCTTAAACGGGATCCCGGAAATGGTTTTGGAAGTAAATTTGGTCGGTCTGATATTGACCATATTATCCATCTAGCGTCGACTGGGCTATGCAAATATGGTTTTCAACATATACCTGGTACTTCTCAATGCATGTAAATGGAAACTTTATCTGTTTTGCTTTATCTTTGAAGACCTAGAAATTAGCTAAACAACCCAAAGGATTCACCAACCAACATTCTAACCAATTAATCAACCAAATATTCAACCAAACAAGAAGACGACTTTTAATAACCCCACGAATTTGCCTGTTTGGAAGAGAATTTCAAAAAAGCTCTTACTCTGATATTCGATTTACATTTACCAATTACTGAATTAGCAACGCTGCAAGTCTATACAATTTACAATTAACTGTTGACTGTCGCGGCGGCCGGGTGACGAACTCCTTGTGGTCCGGGTTCACTCCCGGGGGTAGGCAGAAAAGCCACATTTCTCCTATATTAACGGTACCTATAATGGAATCAATGCCGAAGGGTTGCGATATCCATAGTACCGAGCCAAAGGGTTTACAACTCATGGTTTCTGGATACGTTAAAAAAAAAAAAACAATTAACTGTTAAAGGTTATCAGCTGGGGAATCTCCGCGTCAAAGTGGCAAAGCCATTTGGCTCATGCTCGGAGGGTCAAATTGAGAAGAAAGTAAATTTAACGCCCTATTTTTTTACAGTATGCCATTAGTTCAGCCCCCCCCCCCCCCACCCCATCTCCCGATTTCTCTCTCTCTCTCTCTCTCTATCTCTCTCACACACATATATACACCCCGACACATACACATCTCACTCTCCCTCTTCGAACATTTCCCTGTCGTAAAAAATACGATTAATTATCAAAGTGTACTAGCAGTTTGTGTCAATGTGACATAGAAAAAAAAGGCAATGCTGTATCTTTCATACAGATCTGAAGAATAGTGCCGTATGCGATTCACACAACACCACTGAAGACAAATTATATGTCATATGATGAAACAGAATGTGTTTTTCGTCAAGAATCTGGAACCCAATTAGTGAAGAGTGATCAACGTTGAGAAACGTAGCACAGCCTTCTTTTATCTATACAGTGCTGAGATAACGTAAGCCTATAGATCTTGGCTGCCGCTAAGCGTTTCAGACATTACGTTAACCTCTCCTGCTAGATACCTTTAAAAGGTTAGTTGCATTTCCGTTACAGAATGTTGCAGAACCAACCCTAGCCTTTTTCGTGTGCGTGATTTCACTAGGGAATTTTACTTTTATTAGTCTGCCATTGCTTACTCAACGGTCGGTTCTTGATCCCACTGTCGAAACCAACGCAAGACCAAAAGCTCAAAGCTAGGATCAAACTAGGCATCTTGGAATTACGAAGTACGTTCGCAACGCCTAAGCCATAGACTATAACTACATAGTTTACTACAGTAGAATATCTCCAGTGTATCCGAGATGTCATGAATGTACTTCATCTAGGCTTTCCTCATTATAATTACGCAATTAAACTGTTGCTTCTTTAGCACGAGATGATCACATCACTTTACTTAAACAGGTAAAAGCAAATTAGATCAAACTTACCAACAGCAATCAT